GGTATCGGACATTTCTCAAAGTTGTAATATCGGTATCGTATCGGAAGTGAAAAAGTGGTATCGGGACATCCCTAGTCGATACCAAACATGTTTATGTCTAACTAAAACAACTTATAGTAATTAAAGTGGAAACCAGGGGTTTGGGCTTAAGAGATGAGCAATTGGCGGGCCGAACTTTGGTCACTCGTGAGCCGGATGTGGCCCGCGGGCCACCAGTTGAATAGCCCTGGTGTAAAACATGTGTTTACTGAAAACAAACAATGGTAATGTTTTGGGCCCTTACCTCAAGATTAGGAAAAGCACTGTCCTGTTTGTTTCCAAAAGCTCCTCCATACAAGGTGAAGTCCTCAATACTCATCTGAGAGACACAAAACACGACAAACTAATCATCTGAGAGACACAAAACACGACAAACTAATCATCTGAGAGACACAAAACATGACAAACTAATCATCTGAGAGACACAAAACACGACAAACTAATCATCTGAGAGACACAAAACACGACAAACTAAACACAAATCTATCAGTTTGAAAACCAGGGGCCTCATGTCAACAAGTGTATGCACAAACAGGTTGCATTTGCCATGTTCCACACACAAATTTCATGTTTTTATATGTAAAATAAGGTGTGTGAAAGTGTGTAAATATACCCAAACTTTGGACCTGCCATGAGGATGAGTGTGTCACCAGATAAACGTTCTCAGTTAACATCATTTGGTTTAACTCAAGATGTATTTGAATAGTTTTCACAAACATTTCAGCCTTTATGGTTCAAACCAGAGGTCTTCAAACATGGGTTTGTGACCCCTAGAGACCAGTGGAGGTACTGCTGGGAGAGTTGTGAAATTTTTGGTTAGGTTTTTATTCTAATACTTTTTCCTAAGTTATGTAAAATTAGCACAAAGAGTAAGGAAATGTATGATTGGTAGATTATTTCTATTTATAAGCAGTAGAGCTGAGTGTGTGGGTTGTCTGCCAAATCTTCTCTGGCATTGCTAAAAATAACAAACAAAAATAAAAACTAATTGAAAATAGACTACGAGCTTTGATTTGATATGAAACATATCCAGAGTGTTGCTTTGATTTATTCATGCATGTTTGAGAAATCCTTGAATCTCCTGAGGTAGTCATTCAGCGGTACCAAAACACATGATAAAACAAACCATTTACYCAAAAGCTCCTCACTGGAGCCCAGTCTGCAGCCGAGCTCCTGTACCACAGAGCACCWGCTCCTTGTGCCTCCCCCACACAGCTCCACCACTAGCAGCAGCAGCAGTTAGCAAACACCTGGTGGAAGTGCACCACTGTTTGTAATACTGAAACCTCCACCGTTCAGTCCTCAGATTAAAAATGCCTTCATCATGGAAATGGTTTTTTGCATGCCAAGGAGACTAGGGGTGTAAGAAAATATCGATACACTGAAATATCGTAATATTTCATTTCCCGATACTGTATCGATATTCTAAAGCCCTGTATCAATTTTTTTATTAAGGTTTAAAACGTCAACTTTCCTGCCAGCCGTTCATTTTTATGTTGTAGTTCAGCCTCTGACCACTAGTTGGCAGCAGTGAGTCAGACATTTGGCTCCTCTACCTCTTGAGGTAGATAGAGGCCATTGTTAAGTGTTTGG